CATTTTATGCCGTAATTAAAATAAAGAGCGTGTATCGCATAAGCGCATAAAGCTCGACCGAGAGCCATTTGTAGAGCAGTTGACGAGTTCCGGATAAAAAGTTCCCATCGCGAGTCAAAGGTTCAAACCAGCAGAGATATTGGGGGCCCAGGCGATTCCGTTTCCGGTTAAATTTATTCACTGACGAAAGCGACCAGGCAGTAGTCGCGTTTCCGCAATTGCCTCCGGATCAAGACAAGGATCTGGACGTGAACCAGGCCAGCCAATGTGTAAAAACAGCTGCTAAACTGAAGTTACGGGACAGGCAGTACGGCAGTACCGATGACCAACGAGCAACCACCTCGGGGCCCCTCCTGACAAACCTGAGGATAGACAAGTAGAAAAAGGATGGAAGGGTGGACGGGTGGAAGGGTGCGGAGCAGCTAGGGTTGCATTAGTCTGCATTAGCATGCAAGATCGTCTCCGATCAGATCGCACGTCAACGAGACCGATCCCACCCCCTGACAGTCCCGCGCAATTACCGGACCCGGATCATCACCCGGCCCCCGCCAGTAAACTACCCGAAACCTCGTAGCCGGTAGTCGCTGAGTATAAAATGAAGAGAAAAAAGAGGAAGAATCGAAAGCGAAGCCAGCGCGTCGGCATTTCATTCACAACGCACCCCCTTTGGTCGCGCGGGCAGAGCTTATCTTCGCGTACGGGGTGAAAAGCGCGACGTCCGACAAAAAGCGCTTACAATTAAAAAACAAACACGGCTCCTGGCGGCGCATGGATTTCATATTTCCTTTGCTCCTTTTTTATCTCGAGCTTTCTCCCGCGCCGACGCCACCTCTTTTTTTCTCCTTTTTTTTCCATTTTCTATACCAGCGTTTCCGCCGAGCCGCCAACCGTCATAACACCGAGGGCTGCGGACAAGGGTCGGCAGTGTTGCGGGCCCCGCTCGTGGGGTGTAGATTACACAGAAATACTGGCTGCTCTCTTCAACAAAGCGTCCGACCGATTCACAAGTTAATTGAGCGCTACCGGCGCTAACGAGTAAATCGTCGAGCTTTTCCCGCGGCATGAAAACTCGACGCATTTTTTTGCCAATTAATTCGCTTTTAATTGCAGGAAATTGCCCGACACTTGCCCGGCCGTTCGCTCTCCACCTGTGCTCTTCTCCCGCAACGGGACGCATGGGCGTCGCGACGCAACCCTACCGCAAGAGGACTTCACCGGCGCACGTGGCTCTGCCAGCCGCGTTGCTCGATCGACTGTCCTGTGATAAGCAAATCTTCTTCCTTGTCTTTCTCGTCAGTCTGCAGGCGGCAGGTGCACTTTTTCTTCCCTTACACGAATTCTCTGGACATTCCGACTGCCGCTTGCGCGCAGCGCACACGTGGGCCTTTCTCGAAGTACCAATTACCATGTAAAAGCACAGCCTTCCTCGAGCCGGCTACGGTCGCCGCGTGCAGAGTGCAGGCCAGCCGCAGCCTTGCCAACCAAGTCCTAGTGAAATGGGCCATGTCCACCGCGAGTGGTTTTATGGCTGGAGGTTTACAGGAGGGTTGACGCACACGCGGCCGACTTCACATCTGACTTTACAACCTGCAGCAACGCTGCAGCGCCATCTCCGTCGGGTCTTGCTCCCGTGGAGGAGCGACCCCTTTACGGCTTTAATCCGCCGCGTTTCAGATGGCCAGCGAGTGTCGTGGAAAAGCGAACTCTGGAAGCGGCCAGGCTGGCCAACCGAAGTGCAGGAAGTCCTGAGGGAAGGAGCGGAGGGGTCGGGGAGTCCCGGGCGGCGGCAGATAATTCTTCCTCGTAGAAGCGACAAAACCGACGTTGATATCTTCATTGGCCGAGACAAAAAGACGATACGAAAATTCCCGCGGTCCCTGATTTAGGAGGCAGTAAAACTATAACAGTGTTACCAAAATGAAGAGGTTTAATGCACGGACGTTGCCCGCGGGGCTGTTACTTTTATTTTAGCGGCGCTCTCGTAAAAACAATCAAGCCGGCGCGCCACTCCGACACACTAAACCTTGATTGTAACCGATTCCCAACCCCCGTGACACTACCCCGTCGCGTCATCACGAAATCATCCGTTCTCTCCAGGAATCCCAAATCCATCAAGGATTCATCCTGGAAAGGATTCTCTTTGGTCGAAGCAGCATTGATTAAACCAATTATTGGTCTGATTAATTATTGCCCAAACAAGGATAGGAGCGACGTAAACAAATACGCAGATATAAAAGAATTTTTTAATCAGCCACCAGTCGATTTAAAACGCAATAGAATCCAAAAGAGTTTACCAGGAGAAGCATCCTACACGGCCTGGAAGGTCCTCGATGACCATCGTCCTGTTCTCAGGACGGCGGGTCCCCCAGGACATCCCCGTAGTCCCCGTAGTCCCCGTAGTCCCCGGTACACTCAGGTAGGAAATTCACGATCGCGTTCACGTATACGCGACGTTACGGCTCTTGGGGCGAATTTGGGTTGGTCAGTTTGCCGTTTCGAAATTCGTTAATTACTTCCTCCGGATTAACCTCTGCGGGTAAGAGCCACAATTTTGTGGCTTTGACGCCTGCGGTCAGCCGATTTGATCCGCGACTACTGTGCGTTACCCACGATACACGTGGAGACCGTAGGAATCGGTTGGATAATAAAATAAATAAATCCGTCATAGAAGCAGCCACAGGGGAGAAGCGGAAAAAGAGGCGACGGTTCGGAGTTTATCGTGACGCCTTTTACTGCCGGTAACGAACACGATATTAGTAGGCTGTCGCGCACGAAAAGCCTCGACCAGTCAACAAATGATATTGAAGCGATGTCGAGGCACTATTAGCCAGGTTTTATTGGCCTGTGGCCCAGCCGTGCTGACCTACGACCGCCAACAGTTAATCAATGCTTTTATGAGCATTCGCTTGGCACTAGGCGCTGCACCCCTCCCCGGCCCTCCCCGGCCCTCCCCGGCCCTCCCCGCGACCCGCAGGATCCACACGAGAGCACGCGTGTGGACGTGCCAGACGCGTTCAATGAATTTCACTGCTGAGCCAGAATATACAGTATAGTGGGAGAGGGTTGGGACGCCGTTAAACAGCTCATTATATCATCAATTTCTGTTAAATGGGATAATTTGATTTCTTTCGAGAAATTTGAAAAAGCGCGACTCATCTCTGCCATGTTTGTTCCGTGTATCGACTTGCTATTGGAAAACTCTTTGAAAATAATTACATTGCGCAATTTGAGTGTGAAATTCGTGCGGGGACCCAGACGGGGACCATGGGGAGCACCGGTGCTCCCACCCATCAGGGCTCTCTTGATTGACTGACAAAATAATGTTTGCCCCCTTTATTGAAAACAGAGGCCAAGAAAAACATGCTGTTATAATTTCATGCTGTCTGAAAGCGATGACGTGCGTGTGACGAGCTGCGCATCAGTTAAGTCCTGTTTACATAGCGTGCGAGTCCCTTCTTCGTTTCTCTCTCGTTTTCTCATTTTCACTTCTTCCTTTATTTCCTCTTTCTCGCCGCCTTTCCGCGTGCTTCGTCATTGTCATTGCGCCGACGTGGCCGAATTCGGCTGGACGATCAACCCTTATCGAGCCTCCCAGGAAGGAACCCTTCAAATCCGATTGACTCGACGAAAGGATCCCCTTTTTAATTTCACCTTTGTTACCTTTCTTATTTTTAACTCCTGTCAACGAAAAAGTACGAGACGCGTAAACCAGCGAGGACGTGACGTAGGACAGGAAGAAAGCAGGCAGGCAGGGCAGTGCGAAGGACGAGGGTGGTAGCAGGAAACGCACCCCCCCTTGGCCACGCGGCGCTGGCTAAACAGCCAGGACTATTTATTTTTCTCATCACTTTTAATTTCGTAGAGACAACATAGATGCGTATCGGACAACAATAACGGGCAGCCATTGTCCTTCCATTGTTGCCCGCAGAATGGATATACACGCTGTATCGAGATCGGATCTCGCTTGTTGAGTTTATTAATTGCCTTATGGGAAGTGCCATGTTCGCCGGGGGTGAAATTGAAAAAAAAAATGGCAATACCCAACCTTACCATAATTCCATTGCATCGATATTTTCAGAATCATCCCCCGGTGCAGCAGCCCTGCTGCCCATTAGGAGCCGACCGCGTCGCGCTGAACGGAGCAAAGCCGCGAGCCGGGAGCCTCGTCGAAGGAAGACAGAGCCGAGGGAGAAAGTAACTCTGGATCAATCAAATCCGCTTTCGCTTCGTCGTTCGTAATAATTCGGGTTACTTTCAAAATCAGCTAATCAATCCAAATGCAATCACGTAATTGGCGACCGCAGCGTTTACCGTTGCGAGCAAACCCCCACGTATGTTGGCTATATGGGAAATGCATATAGGGATACACAGTTAATGGCAAACATTGATTCACGACTGTTTACCGGAGGCTTTTCCCACATGTTTATAAAAATGCCAAAACGCAGCACACGGTGCTCCCTTAATTATGAGCACAAACGATATATCGAAAATCGGAGTGAATTCCGAGCCATCGAGAATGGACCGTTCAATATGGATAGTGGGAAGATGAGTAGTAGGCATGTAACAGGGACTGCAGGGACTGCAGGGACTGCAGGGACTACTAGGTTATGTACGAGAAGGACGAGGCTCAGGTCGTTCGTTCCAGCACGCATGGGGTTCGAATGTCAGTACTCGGCCCCGGCATTCCATATTGGGCACGAACCGCCACCGCAGGCCGCAACACGGTTGCTGCAGTTGCAGTTAATTTGCTCACTCCAAGTGTGTTTGATTCCCCTAATTAATTGATTGCTAGGGTCACCCGGTGCGCCGCTACGCCACGGCCTACGGATACCGGTAATCAAATAGCTACGCCGCTCTCTACTCGTTTGCCCAAACTCCCCAAAAAAGTGTCTATATACTGTACTCCTAGCGCGCGCCACAAACGGTCCACGTCCCCAAAACAGCCATCCGGCAAGTGTTCGGACTGTCTCTTTGGTCTATAAATAGAATAAGTCACTCACCGAGGTGTCCGTTCTCGTAGTAATCCCCGTTGTCCATGCGGTGCTTCTTCAAGGGATGCTGGGGGTGATGAGCGGCGGCAGCGGCCAGGTGACTTGCTGCCAGACTCAAAGTAACCGATGCCCTCTTCGGCGGTCTCCCAGGCCTGGAGCTGTACAGTGGTAGAGAGTTACTGTCGTTAGAGACACCCGTCATCGAGGTAACGTTCTTACCCCGAGAAGAGACGCCGTTATGGCGAGCTTCTACAAAAGCGTTAAGGACGTTTATTCTTTGGGTCACGGACGGAGGTCGTTTTCACTGCACGATACAAATAGACGAGGTGTGTATAGCCACTGAAGACTTTCGATTTTCTTAAAGATCGCGCAGGGACCGATCAAAGCGTCACGTTCGAAGAAACAAAAGATTTGCGTTTCGGTTCGTAAGGAGGTGACTTCTCGAAATGGAACTGATGTTGTTGCGGCGTGACGACACAGCGCAGGTGAGCTCAGCCAATCGGAACAACGAATGGGTCCGGTGACGTCACCGTCGAAATCCACGGAACCCCTAGTGGCTCCACCTCGTCTACTTGCATCATTGTTGTTACTGTGCACGTGGGTGAAGGCGTCGAATCTTTCGACGGATCCTAACGAACCAAAAGGTTGCTGGCTAATTTATGCATGAATTAAGACGCTCCATTGCTCGGCTTCCATAGATCCCCTCTAGCTTCGAAATTCTAAAATCCCTCAGTCCGGCCGCCGCGGCCGAGCCGAAGAGATCCGTTGAAACAATCTGGACGCTGGTGCAGTGTGCTTGGCAGGGATCTTCATTTTTCATAGCGGCAGGCGCCAGAGAGGCGCTCACCCATACTATTTCAATATACTCTCTCTGTAATACGTATGCGCGGAGAGAGAGAGAGAGAGAGAGAGAGAGAGAGAGAGAGAGAGAGAGAGAGAGAGGATCGTTCTACCTTGCGAAGGAAATACATGGGACGTGCCTGCCGTGCGCTTATGGACCTTCTTCCCTCCGCTCTGGATGTGGCACCTAGCACCGTTAGAGGTTCTCAATCTTCCACCCTTCCTCCAAATTCTAGTCCATACTCTAAGCGCGATGAGTATGAACAAAATAAATCTTTCCCGTGAAACATCGTTTGTAGCTATGACGTGGTGTTGGGTCGACTTCTACTGTGCTGCAGATGGGATTTCGGAATTGCTTAATTTAGATAAATAAACAAAGTGTCTGAGCACCCCTGCCGACTAAGCGAGCAATCTCATAGTAGTCAGGACAGATTTGTAAATCTAATTTTTCATCCCGTCTTTCTGTTCTCATCCCCCTCCCGCCATTCTTGCTCACTTTTCCCCCTTCCCTTCCCACTTCTCCCTCCCCCTGCTCGATTCTCCATTCCAAAATGATCAGTGGGACTCGAAAGGACTCGGAGGACTCGGAGGACTCGCGACGTCCGAGATCTCCAGACGATTATCAGACAGACGGCCGGTTATGCCGGCGTTCATCTTTTAAACCGCTTAGCTTCGGGTTACACCGAAAACAAGAACGCACTCAAACGCTTAGCTTATACAATACACTTGTTTGCGTTCGATTTTGTATTAAAAACTCTGCCGCCACAAGAATCATTCTCGTCTTCCTTGAAATCCTCGAGGATCCCGTGAAAGAGATAAAATAGAAAAAAAAAAAAAAAGAAAGCAGATATCCCACCCGGAGTGGAAATAATTTAGGAAAAAAAGAAAACATAAATCAAAGAGCCGTATTAAACCGCCGCCGTGAGATTAACGAGGGGGAATCTTCAGAGTAATAAAAAAAAAAAAAAAAGAATTTTCGCAATTGGCGACTGGCACAGTTTGGCAACCCTGATCGCAAGTAAAACGCGCAATGCCAGACTGGTATAATAAAGCGTTGTCGATATTGGGCGTGGAATCGGTTGATCAAAGCGCATAATAATTGTACAGGCACGCAAAGAGAGAGAGAGAGAGAGAGAGAGAGAGAGAGAGAGAGACGGAAAACAAGTTAAGGTACGCAGTAGGTACCCTTACGAAGGATTGAGCAACCCAATTATCCCGATCGGCAAGATCGATCCAGCCGGTCATTCGATATGACGTCAGAGCAATTTTACGTAGCGACGAGAATCGACGAAGGACTTTAAAGCAAGGCCAAGAGAGGCAGTAAGAATGCCAAAGAGGAATGACTGAAGAATATACGGAAATTAAAGAAAAAGAAGAAATTGGCCTTAGATCGATTCCCGATCGGCCGATATTGCGTGATGATGCGAAATAATCAATCGCCTCTTGGAATTAATTGAATCGACGTTTCGTAAGAAATCGATCGTTATTGGCAACCGGTGCGAAGAGGCCGCAGCGTGATCGAGAGCGCTTATTTATCTTTGATTCCTTTTGCTTTTCTTTTGTCCTCCTCTCGATTTTCACGCTAAACCATGGAGTTGCGTGCCAGCAAAAGGGCGCGAGGCAGCTGCTCGATCATTTGGATCATTGGCTTCCTAATTATCAGTGCGCGTCGCGTAACGAGGAAGGTGAACGACGCGGGGAATTATTTCCGATAGCAGCGAGCGATCCTCGTCAATTGCCCTAAGCGCTGCGGCACACTTATTCGCTCGCCATTATCCTCTAAACGATTAAACGGAGCCCCCTCGTTTCGCACCTCTCGCGATAAGCATCGCGTGCCGCGCTTACTTTTCCGCATGGATCGCGCGCGAATCGGCATGCGGATTGGATCGTTCCTTGCAGTGCGAGGGGATTCCAGATGAAACACCCTGTGAGGCTGCAAGGCTGCAAGGAATGGCCGCTTTCCACGGAAGCAAAGTGTAATTAAAACAATTAGAGAACTCGCTGCAAATCATAGTGCTTCTATCGGATGAAGAATCGAGAAAAGGTGCCTCGAGAGCATTTCAGCGATTTCAGCGATTTCAGCCACTTTGCGGTGGGACACGCGAGACTCCAGGCCTAATAGTAATTCCTCAAGTTTCACCAGCACAGTGTGCGATTCTTCCTCGTATTCACCTATGTACAATTGTACATGCATATGGGTATAGGCCTGTATCTCTCATGTAATTCCCTCATCGCCAGAGTTTCCCGACTCACGATGACAATTAAACAATTAAAGTAATTAAGATTTTCATTACAAATCGTGGAAGGCATATCTCATGGAAAATCAACTCGAGTCCATCTCGCCGTATAATTTCTGACATTTTAAAACACGCGAACTTTGCCTCAAAAAATCATAGAGAGCAACTCCTCGACACGCCTTTCGGATTTCGAAATCCGAGCTGGGATTTCGATCGATCTTTCAGAAATTTGGACAATTCGAAAATACGAGAATTCGAATAATGGACTGTATTAAGCGTCCGACCAACCCATTTCCGCAAACTAAACCCTTCCATCTGCTCGGCTCTTTTGATTGATAAGACAAACACAGAGCTCGCTATGCATTTTCTGACTCACGATTAATGTTTCTCCGACTGGAATATACATATACGTTATACGTATACAAACTGTAGCAAAAGGCTAGGCCTTTACTAATGTCGACAGCCTCCTGTACTGCGGAATCACGCGAGCGAATCGCGTGCCCCGACAATCGCCGGACTCCTCTTTGCCTCCTATTATTTGCCCGACTTTGTCTCACAATAAGTCGGCGAGAAAGAAAAGAAACACAAAGAGAGTCTCGGGAGAAAGATGGAAAATAATGGAATCGAGAAACTTTGACAAAATATATATATTAATTTCATCTCTCTCTCTCTCTCTCTCCCTCTCTCCCTGTCTTTCCGTTCCCTTCCTTTTACCCCTTCCTCGCGCATTTTCGACAACAAAGTCGATTTCCAATGTCTACTTGCCTGCTCTCAGTGTATCCTACAAGCTCCCTCATAAATTGTCAATTTCGAAGTCAATTTGCCCCGGCTTACCAATCGGCTACCGGTTAATTTCAAGGTGAATTGTGTCCAATATGGGTATATTATTAATGGCCCGACGAGGGATAGGGCTGCAGACTGAACCGGGAGGGTTGCAACCCCGTTTTCGCGCATCGGCCGAATCTGACGCTCGAGGCGGCCGCGGCCGTTTCGCACTGCCGCGATTAAACTCTGCTGTCTGAACCTCCAACTGCTATACGACTAGACACATGCGTGTGTACGTATAGCCACAGCACAACCGTGAGCAGCGCTACCGTATAGCTGGGTACCGATTTCACGCTAATATCTCAATGAACACATCGTTGGACAGCTGGAAACTGGTATTACGAGAAACAGCTAAGAATTCGAAATGCTCGACTACAGGAAAATTATGTATTTCCAGTGAAAGGCGTTTTCCAGCGGCCATTGCTTTACGATCGAATCGCTTTTATTGTTAAGTCATAGAAAAATGGAGGAGACTTTATGTGGCAAGGACCACTGCACAGCCTGCATGCCTCCCATTATCATTGAATTACGACCGGCCTTATCGCACATCCTGCTACCGTCTTGCGCAACGCAAATACTCCACTCAAATATACCGAAATGCGTGGGACGCAGAGCCCAAATAAAAAGGAAACATGTCCCCGAGATAAAACACCTATGAATGGAATGGACTCAAACCTTGGGAACTCGAGTCACGTACGACTACTGCATGGAGTATACCTGTGTATTTTTATACAGAATAATGAGTCACACTTTTGAAATGACTGATAGACACTTGGATCATCTACTTTGTTTCCTATGGATTAATTTAATTCCTAATTAATTCTTCGGGTTTGTTATGATTATTTTTCTGTCATACGTTAACTGTACTACAGCATCATTCGAGAGCCAAAGCGGATCGTCCATAGGTATAGGTATAATAAATATAAGGAATTCCCATATGAATCGTATCGGCTAGAGGGATGGAATGGGAGAATCGAGAATATGGTATAGCAACCCTCCCTTTTCTCTGTTCCTATTTTTTTTTTTTTTTTTTCTTCTATTGGTCACAGGATAGACTATGGTATCCGGTTTCATGCGACCTTACATCTGGTAAAATGATATAGCTTTTTGGTATCGGAGCGTTTACGAGTAGCGGGTGGAAACTCTATGGGGTCTCTGAAAAGTTTCCAACCCCCGAGGGCTGACAGCGTTAGTCGAATTAATGGGCAGTTCCCACGGGAAGAGATGACGATGTCGCCTATTGATCAGGAATCGAG